TGTACTGCTCAGTATACTGCTAGCTGCCTTCCTAGAAATGGGTTTATTATTTTTATTCCTAGTTTGATTATATATAAGAATGTTGCATGCTATTAAATTCTGTCTTTTTTGCCACAGTTGAGATGACTGTATGGGATGGTTTTGTACTTTATTCTGTTGGTGTGGTGTATCATATTTGTGGATTTGCATACAGGCAATTATTCCTGCATCTCTAGGATGAATTTCACTCAATCTTAATGCTTTGGTATATTGTATTTCCACTTTCATTTATTTAAAGAATTAGGCTGGGTCTGGTGGTGCATGCCTTTAATTGCAGCACTCAGGAGGCAAAGGTGGGTGGATCTCTGTGAGTTTGAGGTCAGCCTGGTCTACAAAGCAAGTTCCAGGACAGCCAAGGGACACAGAAAAACCCTGTCTCGAAAAACCAAAACCAGAAAAAATTAGAAAAATTCTTTCTTGATTTCTTCATTAATCTATTGATCGCTAATTAAAAAATAAGTTAACTTAAATATATTTGTAGTTTATAATGCTTTTCCTATTACCTATTTTTAGTTTTCTTTGAACTGCAATTAGAAAATATGTGTGATATTTCACTTTTATAAATTTTGTTGAGAATAATTTGTTGCTTATCACATACTCTGTGTTGGAGAATGTTCATGCGGAGTAGAAGGGATATTGGGCAGCTGTCTGATGGACCTGTTAAGAACTCCAAGTCCATGAGATCTAGGGTGTAATTCAATTCTGCAGTTTATTTCTTAACATTATTTGGTGCTCTGATGTTGGGAACCATGCACACACATACATATGATAGTCATTTTGTTTTTGAGTTGACTCCTTTATCATCTGCTGACTGCACTCCCTTCCTCAGACTGGTCTGAAATGAGTATGTGGATGAATGGGTTAGGGTCACCTCCTCAGTCTATGACCATACCATCCTGAGCACAGTGGATCTTGTCTGAGCTCTGAAGCAGGGCAGGGCTGAGCTAATCCATACCTGTTTTGCTGCTATGCTCCTAAACTCTAGAACTTTTACTATATGCATATATAAAAATAGTGTAGTGGGTGATATTATTAGGTTCCTTAAGAAATTTTACATATCTTGTCTAATAGCTTTACATTAACACTGAGGTTGAAATGTTATTTTCACTTTAGAATTGAACAAATGGTGTCTTGAAGAGGCCAAATACTTGTCCAAATTAACTCAGCTGGTAAGAAGTCGAGCATAGCATCGAAGCTAGGCTTACAAAACTCACATAGTTTACATACTATCCTCTGACAGCTGGGCTCCTAACCTGACCTTAGCATGAACTAAGGTGGTGATTAATTACAGAGGAGGAGGGGGATGCAGTGCTGACCAAGGCTAGCATGGCAGACTTGTTATCAAAGGAGCAGGGGTTCATGTGAGAATTGTGGGGAGAGGCTGTCCAGAGAGAATTGCTGTTTTCAGTAGAGTGACACAGCTGGCCTGAGATCACTGTTGAGAAAGATCTAGGAGGACAAATGTCCTGCTTCCTTCTGAGCTCCTCACTCGATGAACAACTAGGACTCAGAACTCACAGGCATTTCCTTTGTGGGCTGGAAAGAAGACGTGTGAGGAAGGGTGGAGGATTGATCTGCAATGGCCATGGAGTGTAGAGAAGACACTCAGCAAAACACAGACACAGAGGGATGCCAATACCTCCAACTGACATGCATTTAATTTAGTGCATGTGGGGGGAGCATCTATACTGCTATACGATCTGGGTAGCAGAGGGAAATAGGAAACCATACGAGTAAGTGTCTGAAGTTGTCTTTTGACCTTTGATGAGAAATGTTACTAAAGATAGATTTGATTCCCAATCTAAAACTATCACAAATGAGTTACTGTTATTGGATTGGAGCACTAGTAGCTGTGCATATGATTTGTTTAGTCATTATTGTTTATAAATGAGTCAGCAAAAAGGATGTGAAGAAAAAAACATAATTGATAGTACCTGACTTCTAATAAACATTGACAGATATGTTTTACCTGTATGGTAAAATTAGATAAATTACATTGATTAGTATGATTAGGATGTTTGGAAGCAGTTGGCAGTTTAAAAAGTTTTAACCTCTAAGGCCTACTATTAAAAATTTCTTTCAAGTGGTGAATGTTTTATGAAAATAGAGCCATCATCTGGTAAAGTTTGTTTCAGGTCTTGACTTCTTGCACTGTGTTGTGTGTGAAGTCAGAATAAGCCTGTTTGAAAGGCAGGACACATGGCAGCATTCAGACTCCAAAGCCTCCTGAGGTGAGCTAATGGCAGAGCTTACAGATGATACAGCATATGTTCCTATCGTGGCTATGGGCAGGCACATGAGGTAAACTGAATCCAGTTGTTCTCATGTTTGAGTTAGGCAGGATGATTCTCCCTTGTTTTAGCTACTTTCCCTGTTGCTGTGATAAAAACACCTGACAGAGGCAATGGAAGAAGAAAGGGTTTCGTTTTGACTCACCACAGTTCAAGGGTATATAGCCTATCATGTCAAGGTGGCAGGAGATGGAAGCAGCTAGTCACATGTGTCTACAGCCAGGAAACAGACAGCAGTGAATGCAGGATGCTCAGCCTCCTTTCTCCACTTACACACTCCAGGAGTGAGATACCTAGTGGGTGGGCCTTCCTGCCTCAATGCAGACAAGACACACATACGCACAGCACACACACAGTCGTGTCAAGAGGCCTGTCATCCAGATGAATCTAGATTCTGTCAGGCTGACAATGAACTCTTAACTATCACACTCCCTTATAGACAGTCATGAAAAACAAGAGGAGATAAAACATGGAATGTACTTACCCCAGCACCTCTCATGTAAAGACTAGCCTATAACTTGGGATTGCTGTCACTGTTGGGATTCCTTCCTAAGTCTGTATGTTACCTGGAGCCTAGAAGTATGTGATTTTCAATAGTTGTGTGGGTGCATGGAATTATATGACACCACTAACTAATGGAGCAGCAGTCATAAAATGACATCTTACATCACGATAATACAGCTACCATGGCTGCAATTATGTATGTTATCACTGATTTGGGATTATGGATTTAAGTTACAACTACTTACTTTACTAACTTTCTTGAAAAGGGTGCATTTAGATATTCTGTTACATATTATATATTGCCATAATTTATATGAGAGGTGCGATTTATGACATAATTAGTGAAGATTCAAAGACAAGGTTGACCTTCATTCAATGTCAAAAGTAAGTACTGTCTTTAGCACTGCACTTCTAAAACAACTTGTACTTATATTAAATGTTTTTGTATATTCATTTACTCGTTGTGTGTGTGCGTGTGTGTGTGTGTGTGTGTGTGTGTGTGTGTGTGTGTGAACACATATGCATACATGTAGAGCCTGGAGAACCACTTGTGGAAGTTGTGTTTCTCCACCCACCATGTGGGCCCCAGGGATTCACCTCAGCTTATCAGGCTTGAAGAAAGTACCTTTACCCACTGAGTCATCTTGTCCGTCAAGTTTTAGAAACTTACAATAGCCTATGACAAAAATTCAATTTTCACATGACTACATTTTTAATAACCATATTTATGGTTTGTCCCTTTTATGGAAACATAAAGGAAACTGGATGGGAATACTTTAACTTCCATTCTTAAATTTCTCAATGAGGAAATTTCCCAATACATTGCTGAACCTTCTTTGTTCTCCTTTTTCATTCTGCTCTAGGTGCTGTGGGATTCATTTGATTGGCTAATCTGGAAAAGCTCAGCCTGTGTTCCCCCACAAAGCTAGTAACTGCTATTCCTAGGAATGACTCCTCCCCACTTTGGGGAAAGGGCTTGGATGGGATGGGTTCTGTGTTTTCTCAACACAGGAATGTTCTCTACCGGCTCTGGGGATGTCCTTTGTGATCCCGCTTGGCTCTCATATACTGTAGTCTCTGACACTTTTCTTTTCTTTATCTCTTGTGATCCCGCTTGGCTCTCATATACTGTAGTCTCTGACACTTTTCTTTATCTCCCTTTCTTTTTCTTTTCTTTCTTTCTTTCTTTTTCTTTTTTTTTCTGAGACAGGGTTTCTCTGTGGCTTTGGAGGCTGTCCTGGAACTAGCTCTTGTAGACCAGGCTGGTCTCGAACTCACAGAGTTCCGCCTACCTTTGCCTCCTGAGTTCTGGGATTAAAGGCATTCCCCACCACCGCCCAGCTTTTATCTCCCTTTCTTTGAGACAGGATCACATGAATGGCAGAAGGATAGATGGGGCTGGCAGGCAGAGAGTATAAATAGAAGAACAGAGAAACGGGAGAAAAAGGAGAGGAGGACATCAGGGGCCAGCTACCTAGCTATACAGCAATCCACGAAGTAAGAATAAAAGCTCAGAGGCAAAAGGTAGATGGGGATAATTCAAAGGTAAGAAAAGCTGGCTAGAAACAAGCCAAACTAAGGCTGGGTATTCATAACTAAGAATAAGCCTCCATGTGTGATTTACTTGGGAGCTGGGTGGCGGGCCCCCAAGAGTCAAAAACCCAAAAGGAGAAAAAACAAACTTACTACACATTATAACAAAATAATGGAGGTATCTAACTTTATAAATAAAGGAGGCTTAATTAGCTCACAGTTGCAAAGGGAAGAAGCCCAAAGTCCTATAGTCAGTGCCTACTGTGGATGGATGAAGGTAGCCTATGTGGAGGAAGAGAGCAAATCTTGGTATCAGAAGTCAGCATCTCGGTCCAACAGTCCCTTATGGAACCTCCACTGACCACATGGCTTCCATGAGGACCACCTCTTAAAGGTCCCACCTCCTGACAAATGTCAGCAGCAGGGTTTTCCCAAGCTGCCTACTATTCATCCTGATGCTGAAAACTAGAGGTGGGGTAGCGGGAGGAAGGAGGCTTCCATAAGAGACAAATCTAGAAAAGAATACAGACAGCTGGGTTTATCTATGACTGACTCTGAAGAAACATTTCAACAATCTGGACAGTAGGCAGGAACAGTTCAGAACACACACAGGACATTTCTGAGGACACTTACCTCGGTGGTGTGCTTTGCCACGTGCCCCACAATCACAATGACCTTGCCCTTGAAGTTGTGAAGCATCGTGGTATAAGGGCCCTGGTTGAGCTCTCCCTCGGCTGTGAAGGCAGCGATGAAAGGGATGTTGATGCTGCCTGCAATGTGACCTCGAAGAAAGCTGACACAGGAGTTAAGGAAACTGCCTTTCTTTTTCTTTTCTTATTTCAGGGTCTCAAGTGTCTAGGAGAAATGAAGGTTACTCATTTCTAGACACCAGCACTAAACACTCCCCGAGTATTTTATCTAAACAAAGTAAGGTTCTTTAAAGAGGCAGAAAGTTAAATCTGAAGGCAAAAAGAGAAAGGAAGAGCAGTTTGAGATGTAATTATCAGTGGAAAGTCAAAGTGATCCTGGCCCAGCGAAGCCACAGTCACCGACTAGCTGCAGTCTGTGTGCCAGCACCTTTACCAGCACAACCAGGGTGGTTTTTTACAAGTAACCACACCGACAAGTGGACTGTCTCAGGACAAATTTGATACTGAAAACACTTGATGCTAAGTCAAACTCCACAGGGAACTGTTAGAGATCCTCAGCCCCAGATGGGAACTGTTCGGCTGCAGGTTAACGTGTTCAGCAAACTCAGGCGGCAGATCCATTATTCTGATTTTATAACATCCAAAAGGGGCCATGTCTGATGGTTCTTATAATTCATGAGAATTCTGATGGTCTAGTTGACTATTACTGTTTAGAAAATAAAGCCATCCATTAACCTTCAATATTTAGCAATGACAAAAGATATAAAACATATATGTGCTTTGCTAAGTAATTAAAAGTATAATTGGATAAATAGAAATAGAGCTTTGGAAATTAAAAAGATATGGCTACATGCAGAAAACTATAAAAGAGATGTATGAGATGTTGTAATAGACTGCATCAACTTGGGAGGACAGGGAAGGGTTTTCACTGATGAACTGATGGCAAGGTCAAATTCTGAAGAATAAAAGTTAAGACAAAGGAATAGAAGGGGATGACAAGTTCAGGCAGTGGGGAAGCATATGCCCAATTAAGGGCAAGGAAGGACAATGCTGTGGAACTTAGAACATGAGATAAAAAAGGGTGGAGGCTGGACTGTGCCTGGTGTTTAGGATAACGATCTTTATTCTGCTAATAAGGAAAGTCCAAGTATTTTAAGCAGGAAAACAGCATATTGGATTTGCAATTGGGCACCACTGTAGCGAAAAGCTCAAGGGTAAGTGAATGTCCATCCAGTTCAGTTTAGGTTGCATCTCCACTCTTTTCTTAATAATCACCGAGGAAGACCACAAAGGGCTCTTTATGCATTTAATAGAGCCCCTCCCCAAACTTCCACTTGAGAGACTTAAGAAAAGCGATAGTTTTAAAGGTTATGACATAAACAGGTTATGTTTTCACTCTAAACATCTCACCACAGAAGGGAAAATATTATAATTACATATTGAAACGACAGTTGTCACCACTCATTCTGTAGGCTCAGCAGCTGTTCTACTTTATCCCCTTTCCAGCTCATTAGTTGAAAGAGGAAAGATCCCAGGCTCTGACTTTCTAGAACAAGTAGGTAGCAGGAGGAAGAAAACATTCAACACTAATAATAAAATAATCAAATACATTCTGAAAAAACCATGAAAGGTAAAAGTCTACATTGGAATTGCTGTGGACATTGTTTAAAGAATTCTAGAATGGGGACACTATTTGTAAACACAGGTAAAGTACGCTTAAACTTTTCGCAAGTGCCATCACCACCTGGCTGACATTAGTTTCTCAAGCATCACTATTCAGTAGCCTCAATGGGAGTCTTCATGAACAATGGGACTTTTAAGAATAAGAACCTTGAAAATACTTGAAAATATTTAAGCAATTTTGTTTCAGTAAAGAGACCTTAAAAGTGACATTATTAATGCCAACTAGGAGTCCAGCTGTTCACTTCTCAGCAGGCAATTGGCTGCCAGAAAGAACTTCTGTTTCTCAGACAGCAAGTCTGGACTGTGAACAGCTTTACTTTTAGTGGTTTTATAGGAGCAAAAGCCATGTAAATCTATCCCAGTCAAGTGCTGCGATGGACATGTCCATGCAGCTCACCTGTTCTTTCTTGTTTGGACAGCCTCAGACAGTGCCCTTGGTGAAAACGTGACCCTTGGTTATCGTGTTTGCATTAGAAAAGCCTACCACACCATGCCATGGCTGGTGGAGAGAAGGACATGGAACGTAGAGCTAGGTGCCTGATGTAAACTGAGCCAATCTTATATTCTCTCTCAAAAATGAGAAATAGAAAATAATGTATACATGGTTTAAGTTTTTGAACATAAAATCCCATTTGAATGCCTCTAAATAGAATGTTAACCACTTAAAAGGAAATCAGAATCCCCTACTCTAGAAGAAAAACTGCTTAAAGTTACATTCTGTGAATACTTGGTTTTTGAAAGCTAAGACCCCTGAATAACACCTAGGCAATTTTTATATTGGGTATGTATTTTTAAAGGAGACTTGTCTATACTGCCTTTTATCATTAAAAGCCTGTTATTAACTTGCTATTTTTCCAGAATTTTCTGTTAGTTATGCTTTATGATTTAATTTTTAAAAATGGAGATTAAACATATAAATGCTTGACAAAATATGATAAAATAAGAGTTTTGGAGAGGAGGAAAGTTCTTTCCAAACCCCCAATACTTCAAGTATTCTCATTGTACTCTGGAAAACATAACACAAATGAGCAGAGCCTTAGACCAGTTTCCCTACAATGCAGTTCTGGAAACCATCTAAGAACACCATTCCCAGAATACTCTTTATCAAGAAGCAGAGACTGAGTAAGCACAGATGTTTGAACACACAAAGCTGTCAAGTCTCAACATCTTCCAACCGTAGCTGCATTACTGGCAAACGAGAGAAGAATCAACCCTGCCTGCTTAAAGATCAGTGCATTTACAAGCAATCCCATGATTCTGAATCCTGACAGAACACAGTATTTTGTGACTGGGTTACCTCACTCAGGATGTTTTCTTCTAGTTCTATCCATTTGCCTGAGAATTTCAAGATTCCATTGTTTTTTTCTGCTGAATAGTACTTCCATTGTGTAAATGTACCGCATTTTCTCTATCCATTCTTCAGTTGAGGGGCATCTAGGTTGCTTCCAGGTTCTGGTTATTACAAATAATGCTACTATGAACACAGTTGAACATATGTCCTTATTGTATGAATGTGCATTCTTTGGGTATATGCCCAAGAGAAGACTTGCTGGATCTTGAGGTAGACTGATTCCCATTTTCCTGAGAAACTGCCATATTGATTTCCAAAGTGGTTGTACAAGTTTGCACTCCCACTAGCAATGGAGGAGTGTTCCTCTTTCTACACATCCTCTCCAGCATAGACTGTCATTGGGGTTATTGATTTTAGCCCTCCTGACAGCAGGAAGATGGTATCTCAGAGTGGTTTTGAGCTGCATTTCCCTGATGGCTAAGGATGTTGAGCACTTTCTCAAGTGTCTTTCAGCCATTTTAGATTCCTCTGTTGAGAATTCTCTATTTAGATCTGCACTCCACTTTTTAATTGCATTGTTTGGTGTTTTAGTCGCTAGCTTCTTGAGTTCATTGTATATTTTGGTGATCAGCCCTCTGTCAGATGTGGGGTTGGTGAAGATCTTTTCGAATTCTGTGGGCTGGTGTTTTGTCTTGCTGACTGTGTCCTTTGCCTTACAGAAGCTTCTCAGTTTTAGAAGGTACCATTTATTAATTGTCCATCTCAATGTTTGTGCAACTGGTGTTATGTTCAGAAAGCAGTCTCCTGTACCAATGTGTTCAAGGGTAACACTTTTCTTCTAGGAGGTTTAGTGTGGCTGAATTTATGTACTCACTTATATATGACTTTTAGACACAGAGCAAAGGATTACCAGTCTACAATCCACACTGCCAGAGGAGCTAGGAAATAAGGAGGACCCCAAGAGAAGATTGCATAGTCCCTTAAAGAAAGGGAGGGGGACAAGAACCCCTGAACAAAGTGGGAGCGTGGGGCATGGGTAGAGAGGAAGGAGGTGGGAAGGAAGAAGGGGAGGGAGGGAGGAGAACGAGAGGACTGAGACAGGGGAGGAATAGAGGAGGGCAAGAAAGGAGATGCCTTGATAGAGGAGACAGTATATGTATGGAGAGAGGTCTGGCACAGGGGAAATGGTAGGGGATCCACAGGGATGACCCCAACTAAGAATCCAAGCAGTGGTGGAGAAAATGCCATTGATGCCCTTCCCCTATAATGAGATTTGTGTCTCCCTTGGTTACCATTCCTAGAGCCTTCATCCAGTAGCTATTCGAAGCAGAAACAGGCATCCACAGCTAAGCACTGAACCATACCCCTGGTATCCAATTGTGGAGAGGGAGGAGGGATGAGCAAAGAAGCCAAGACAGTTCTGCAGAAACCTGAAGAAACAGGTGACCTGACCTAGTGTGAGAGCATGGAGACCCTAGTCATAAAGCTGTGGAAACAGCATTGGACCGAACCAAGCCCTCTGAAGGTGGGTGCCAGCTAGGAGGCCAAGACAGTCTATGGGACCTCTAACAGTGGAGCCAGTCTTTAACCCTAGAGCACAAATGGACTTTGGGAGCCCATTTCCTATGGAAGGATACTATTGCAGCCTAGATACAGCAAAGAGGGCCTAGACCCTCCCTCAAATGATATGACAGACTTTGAAGGTCCCTGGTGGAGGGCCTCACTATCCCAGGGGGTGGGGGGGGGTTGGTGGGGAACATGGGAGGATGGGAGGTGGAGAGAATGGGGGGATGGATATGTAAATATGAGTAGTAATTAAAAATTTTAAATAAAAAGAACAACAAAAAGAACACAGTATTTTGTTGAGTACTGAAGTCAGTGGTACTAAAGCCTCTTTATCAGACCACACCAACCTCACCAATTATGAAATCCTACATATCTCTGTGCTGGCCCGCTTTCTGTGTTGACTGGTTTAGCTAATGTAACATCTCTTTAAACCCATTTGAAGGCTGGACCTTTACTAATAGCCCAAAAGGGAAATAGAACTAAGCCTGTGGTTTTGCCATATGTAACTGAGTAACATTAACTGAAATAAGAAATGTCCAGACATCATTTTCTTTAGAACTCTTATTACATATTTGCATTGATATCAGCAATACCCCTATCATC